GGGTGGAGAGGGAGGGCAGCTCCTGATGCTGCATGCACCCCCAGGGAAGGCATGGGGGTCATGTGCCCCCCAGATCTGTGAGTGGGACAAGGGCAGCCCCAGGGTCTTCCTGGCAGGGGGTTGGGCCAAGGCTGCACTTGGGGTGAGTGGTGGCAGTGCTGGGAGGAGGGTTATGACAAATTTGTAGCCCACCCCATAGCCCCCCCTCTTATCACTACCATCGCCTGCTCCCAAGCATAGCCCCGACCTGACCTGACCCAACCCCCCACCCCGACCAGGAAGAGCCTGGCACTGCCCCTGGCCCCAGCCTGCAGCCCACCCTCACCCTGCACACAGATCCGGGGGAAACACGCCCCCCATGCCCACCTGGGGTATGTGCAGAGGCAGGAGCTGCCCCCACCCCCCCAGATGAGCCACGGCTCCATCCCATGCCTGCCCCAGCTGTGCAGCGCCAGCCCCACTATCTCTCTCACCAAAGGGGCCTCAGTCTGCACCCCCCCATGCCCCTTCCTTCCCCCACAACAGACTTACCATCCAGACACTGCTCTCTATGCTGCCAGGCTGCGCTCCTGGCAACCTGCATGCTGTACTGCAGCTGTGTACATGCATGCGGCATTTATCAGCAACATTATCAGCCACATCAACCAAAAAAAGCCAATTGCTGATAATGTCAATTTTCCTTTTATCGGTGCCAATACGATATGGGACCTATGCATCGGTGCACCTCTACTAAAAAACCTCTCTGAAAAATCACAACTGAATTCTCAGAACACTTTCCAACAGACATATACCAGGTGTCTTCATAGGAGGTATTTCTATGTTGATATCTAAAAAGATCTAAATGCCTTACAAACACATCTTATCAAATTTTTGGATTGGCTAACTAACTGAGTAAAATTCAACTGAAAGTATGGCTTTTTCTGACTAGTGAACGTTAAACAAACCATTAAAGGTTTTCCTTTTAATTTCAGATCAAGTACTTCTGTATACACAAAAACACATCCACCTCTGAAACTAAACAATATTCTAGCAGCTCCCAACTCCTTCCCTGATGCTGCCGAGGTAGAAAAAAAGCCTTCCAGATCTCTCATTTGTTTCAAAATGCAAAATCCAGAGTTTCACGCTGTTTTCTAGTATTTTTGTATAAAAGAAAATAAACGCTGTGCTGCACTCCATCAAGCACTGGATCTTTAAAGGCCAAGCAAAACAATTATCAATGCTGATACTAAACATGTTGGCAAGTTTTTTTTTTAACAAGCACCCATTTTGTGCTGATTCCTCTGAAATATTTTGACGGGAAAACCTTGAACATGTTCTTTGTTGTTCTTTCTTTTTTTAAATAAAAGGAGGTGGCTATGTCAGATCCAGTGTTCGTGCCTAAAAGCACAATTTAAAAAAGAAAAAAAGAACAAGCTTTAATCCCAAGCCACTTCATGCTTTCCACAAAAAGCCAAACCAGAACACAAACTTAAGTAGCTAGATATCATGCATATCTTTTCCTGCATTAAAGATGTTTTTGGAAACGCATACCTCTCCAGAAGGCTTCTCACTTACAGGCTAATGTATAACATTGACAAATTGAACAAAGAACAACAGTTATCATTAACGATGCTTGCAATGTTGATATTAAAATCTAGACTACAAAGTGAACATCCAAATCACTGGAAGAATGATCCCAGTACCTTGTAGCCACATCTCTGCAAGTACGCCTCTTCCTCCTTCTTAACTAGCTCGCTGCGCTTGAAGTGCTTTTTGTTTTCCTGGAAGGGAGGAAACCTGTTAATACTTTATACAACTTGATTTCAATGTCTATCCACCTGGACCTCAAAGCCTGCATCTTTCCTTAGGTCTGCTTGCAGGGAGAGGGAAACATTTCAAAGGGCCCCTCAATGCACACCAGTTACAAGTTCAAGGTAATGCTGCAACACATTTCTTCCAAACTGGTTGGTTAGTAAGTAATGCATTTACCTGAATCTAAGATGACTTCAAATTGAAGATGACCCCCCCCCCCCCCCCCATTAATATGCTATACAAGTGCAAA